ATGTACTACATGGATTACAAATCGCATTTCAAAAATTTGGACACAAATTTGTGTCAAAAACGGTTTAAGGGATAATAAAGCAGCAGACATGGGTAATGTTGAAGGAATATGTCAAGTTGGTTATTGTTATCGAGATGGAATCGGAGTTGAGAAGGATGAACATAAAGCGTTCGTTTATTGTCAGAAATCTGCAGATATATGTTATGTTAACAGAGTATATAATCTTGGAGTTTGTTATCAAGATGGGACTGGAGTTGAGAAGGATGAACGGAAGGCGTTTGCCTATTATAAAAAAGCAGCAGATATGGGAAATGCTGAAGGAGTATATTATGTTGGATATTGCTATCAACATGGAAAAGGATTGAGAAGGATGAACGGAAGGCGTTTGCCTATTATAAAAAAGCAGCAGATATGGGAAATGCTGAAGGAGCATTTCATGTTGGTATTTGTTACCGAGATGGAATCGGAGTTGAGATAAGGCATTCGTTCATTATCAAAGATCTGCCGATATGGGTGATGCTCAGGGAACATATCAAGTTGGTATTGATATCGAAATGGAATCTGAGTCGAGAAGGATGAACATAAGGCATTCATCTATTTTCAAAAATCTGCTAACATAGGAGATGTTGGTGGAATGTTGCAAGTCGGTTATTGTTATCGCAATGGTATTGGAATATCAATTGACATTGAGAAAGCTAATTATTGGTTTCAAATGGGGAAGAATAAATTTCATGAAATCGTACAAGCAGAATACAAAGATCTTGATATTGATGACGATATAACAATTTTACTGGATAACGATAAATACCAATTAGTTTGGATTCTTTACGAGTTTGAAGATATTAGCATAATCGGAAAAGGTGATTTTGCGATTGTATATTCTGCAGTATGGTTAGGAAAAGTTGATAAATTCAGTCTAAAGTCTACTGTTGCACTAAAGGAATTTCATAAAAACGATTATTTAAACGAGGTACAGTTCTTTTTTATAATATGATATATTTTGTTTTGATAATATTTTAACTAAAAATAATGTTATTAAAAGTTGAAAGCCTATTGCGATATCGGTGTCGAGAATCCTTCGTTCATGAAATGTTACAGAATATCGAGAAACGAGAACAAAAAATACATTCTCGTGTTGAAATACCAACAACGAATATATCGCAGACCTGGCTGGGTCTTTCTGTTCAACGTATGAAACAAGATGAACAAATTTACGGCATTTTATCTTACATCGCTCCTGAAATTTTGAACAGACAATTATATACTATTATTTATTCTTTCGGTATGATCATGTGGGAAAATTGCACGGTATCCCAGTAACATTCTGTTACAAATCGATCCACCATATCAGATATTACTGGATTTCAACCACCTTGTTGTTAATTATTTTCTTTTTTTTACTAATTAATTTTTTTGGTGGAATAAGAAAGACCCGGGTCTTGTATACGGCAGTTTACGGTACGTTCCGTTCGAATCTATACAATTTTATATTAATTTGATTAAATCGTATTCTGATGAAAAAATTTCCGAAACCATATCTGACTCAGGCGAATTTTAAAAAAATTTCGTTAACGGACGAATTTTCAAAGTTAAACATTTCATAATCAATAACTGTCGCGGATCATAATTAAAATTAAATAAGAGTTTCTATTTAACCACCTAAAACCTACTTATATTTGTTTATTATAAATTCTAACCTAAAACTAACCTCTAACCCTAACCCCTAACCCTAAAAAATGCACACCAAAAATTTTTATTTTTTTGGTAGATTGTCTATTTTTTATATTGTAAATATTTCATTTTAATCTGATTTCACTTTAATCCGCATTTTAATTTACGTGCAACCTTATAAATCTTATCATAAAGAATTAAAAGTTTTAGTAAAATTTTTGAATTTACATTAGGCTGAAAACAAAAAAATTTACAACATAACAGATAATAAAATTGATAAATATTTATTTGAATAATTAAAAGTTATAGTTTTTTAACGTACCAGTAAATTTTAGAAATATTTATTATTTATAATGCTAACTAGTAATGGAAAATTCTATATATATGAAAGAAATAAGATTATACTGTTTTTTAATTTAATTTAATTTTGGTACTATTAGTATTATACGTTCTTTTAGTTCCTCTAGTTTATTTTTTATATTTTTTATACTCTCGATCAAATCATTATCTTTAATATCGATCGAAACATTATCTTGTATCTCGATCGAACAATTTTTTTTAATATCGATCGAAACATTATCTTGTATCTCGATCGAATAATTTTTTTTAATATCTTGTGTCTTTTTAATTTCATCATTATCTTGTATCTCTTTGGTCAAATCATTTTTTTTAATATCTTGTGTCTTTTTACCTTCGATCAAATTTTTTTATCTGAAAACCTAATGGTTCTATTAACTTTTTCATTTTATCTATCTTATAATTTGGAATTATGTTTGTCAGATTTTCTTTTTGGACCCAAGACCCCATATCGATATACTGCAAAACTACTGTATACGATATGATTATCGTTATCTCAATATTTTTCTACCCGGGTCCAATTTTAAATTCTCACCCCTTTTTCATTTGGAACACAAAATTCGCAGAACAAATTTCAGAAGCACGTATTGATATTTTGACTTTCAAAGAGATTACTGCATATAAAAAAAGGAAAGTGCTTTTGTTGTTTGCACCTATGGCATTTCACAATATCCTACGATGCGTGGGAACTGTTCCACTTATGTGGACCTCTCTTGGTCGATATTTGGAAGAGAATGTCATGTTTTTCTAGGCAATCTCATTCCAGTATATTGGACTTAATGGATATCCTACGATGCATTGGAATTGTTCCATTGACGTGGACCTCCTTCAATTGATGTTTGGAAAGAAATAATCATGCTCCTGCTAGGAAATGCTTAGCACATGAGGTTGACAATTTCTTTCCAGAAATCCATTATATCATTGCCATACGTGATTCTAACGATAAAATTTTTTAATTCGCAATATTAACAATATTGGTTTTTTTTTTTTTTTTTTTTAGCATAGACATTTCAAGTGGGATTGCTGATTATTTGAGTAAAGTAAACTATGCAAACTGGAACATTCTTGATTGTCTTAAATTTTTGGATAAAAATAATTGCCCTGGGATAGTATCTGAAAATAAAGAAGAAATTTTAATAGAATTCAAGAAGCAATTACATTCAGCATCTGTTAATCAGTCATTAAACAAAAAAGCCTGTGATAAAGCGACAAAACAAATTTATATGGATCAGAAGTCGCAGTGCAAATGATTAATGACAAGTTAAATGATTTTCAATATAAACTATCTTCGTTGAAAAGAAATAATAAGGAAGCAAATACTGTAAGTTGTACTGTATTCATTATCTTTAAGTTAGCTAACATATTTAGTTTTAAATATATGAATATAATTTTCTCAATAGGCATGTGATAGAATAAAAAAACAGCGTAATCAAAAAGATTCCACATTTGAACTTTTAACAAAGGAAAGTCTAAATACAGATGAGGATTTGATTATCGGAAACTTTAAAGTTTTAGAATCGCTATTGAATTGGAAATTGAAAAATAATCTATTTCGTAACGAGTATGTTTTTTTTTTAAAATAATAATTTTTAAGCTATACTAAGATTTAATTTACTAATAAGTTTTGCAACAGTTTCGCATATTATGACATATTAGATCTCACTCCAGGCACAAATAGTGATTTTGTTAAAAGCTATTTGTCACCAGAAGTATATAATAAGCTTATAACTCATGAACCAACAA